AAAAACCTCTAATTATTCTCAAATCCCTCCCCAATCTTTTGGGTGGCTGGAAAGATGGTAGTACCCTAGACAGAAATAGGAAAATTCGGAAGAAGGGAGCTTGAGATATGTTCAGTTTGAGATTTCAATAAGATGTTTGGTTTGAGATGCCAACTTAAAATTTTCTATAAGAAGCTGGTAATAAAGGACTGGAGAGAGAGACTGAGAGAGACAGAGAGACACAGAGAGAGGGAGATACACAGAGAGAGACAGAGATATTGATGAAGATCCAGCAAAGCAGACTCAATAGGACAGTTCAGGAAGGTCGGACAACTGAAAGACCAACATCACTCAAAGACAGAGGAGAGAATATTGAGATGGTGGTTAACATCAAATGCCACAGAAGTCAAGTAAGATAAGGACCAAGAAAAAGTCATTAGGTCTGGCAATTAACAGATCACTATCAACTTTGGCAAGGGCAGTTTCCATTGAGAGATGGGGCCAGAAACCAGATTGCAGAAGGTTTAGAAGAGAAGGAAAGGGAAGGAAGTAGAGGCAAGGATAGATAGCTTCTTCAAGGAGTTTGAACACCCCCACCCCCAATCCTCCTCCAAAAAAAAGAGTATAATAATAGGACAGCTTGAAGGGATGGTAGTGTCAAGTAATGGGTTGTTGGATTTTTTTTAAGGTTGAAGACGGCAATGTGGACATGTTTGTAGGCATTAAGTCAATCAGTCAATATGAATTTCATATGTGCTTATTTGGGTACAAGGTGCTTAGAACTAGGGATACAAGGAAAGGCAAATAGTTCCTGTCCACAATGAGCTTACATTCTAATGGTAAAGACAACATGTAAATAACTAGATACACATAACCATCAGAGTAAATGGAAGACAATCTCAGAGAGGAAGACACTACAGCAGCTAAGAAAAACAGGAAAGTTCTCCTGAATAGGGTGGGAGTTGAACTAAGTCTTAAAGGAAAATCCAATTTTCTGCTTCAACTTTAGGGAGTTTATTTTAAGGGGAAAAAAGGATGAATTCAGTCAGCACTGCTCCAAAGCTCCTAATTAGGAAAATTACTAACATTTAGTAGGCTTTAGATTCTCAGCCTAACTTTATGTTTGTATCTATCTCTAGTTAACTTTGGGCCTCTTTGTAGTACTCTGTATAACATAATAGCAGATAATATCATTGTTACCTGTGAACAGACAGCATTGGAGGCAAAGATGTGGAGGAGTCCAGTTGTAGAAAGATTATGTTCTTCTACTCTACCAAGGGAAAACCTATGTCCTTATAATCACCTGTATTATACTTCAGTCATAATGCCAGCATCGATGAACTCTAAGAAAACTCTTCCTATCTGTCACTAAGTCTTCTGAGAGCCCTTAAATCAGGCAAAATGTGGAAAATTCTATAAAATCTTGTTATGCTGGTAACCTTATGACAGCCTTCAGATGTAAGACTGCACATACCCTATGCAACCCTGCCTAGAAAACCTGATTCTAGTCCTAGAAAACCATATCCCTTGATTTTACTAGGAGTTACCATCATGTTAGTGACAAGCAATTATCAGAATAAGAGTAAATTGTCAAAGACTGCCCAATTAAATTCCTGTCCAAAACCTTTCAAGCGGTCTAGAGATTACAGAATCACTTCTAAATCACATCCTTTTCTTTTGTGTAGGTAGTCATACTGGACCAGGACCCCAAGGAGAAAAAAGGAGGTCCAGTCAACAGTTACAGATCGCTGGGCCATCTCCTTCCAACAGCTAGTTCTCCCCCTCTAGAGAGCCTCAACTTCGAATGATTCTGTTATTCATCTGAGGTCTATACTAGCCTTCTCAAACTCAGCCCACTGGTCAAATCCAATAATGTGGAACATAATTGCCATTATTAGGAGAATAGGTAGAGACAGACTACTACCTTAGGTAGTTGATATGGACTGCTCCTCACCAACAAGTTACATTCATTTAAAAAATGATCATCAACTTGACAGCCATTGACAAACATGAGTATATACAAAAACAAAAAGAACTTCCTATTACATAGGCCTAGAGTTGTTTTAAGTATATCATTTAATAAGTTAATTCCAACATTGTCTGGCTTGTCTACGGTTATTTCTGAACATTTTTCTATTCTATTCTGTGTATTTTATAAATTTCTCATTGAGGTGTTTATTTTTTTAGAGGGATTCCTATCACCCTGTTCCCCTAGGCCAAAAATACAATTGAGTACTAAAAATAAAAATAAAATAAAATAAAACTTTAGTTAGTTCTTAAGATGGATTTTATTTTCCTGAACAAGTTTTGGTCTCAATTAATGGTTCTCATACCATATTTCACCACATAATCATAACAGATTTTAAGCCAAATTTTTTTGTGAAAAAGTGGGGTATGACCATTATATGATGCTTTTTTTCTTTTAAATTGTACCAGTATTACTCAAAAATCATTTATTACTAAACTGTCTTTGATGTAAGATTAGGATTGCACTGAATACTTGTGAACATACGTTAAAACTGAATACTGACAATGTGCATGCTCTGAGAATTCCAGGCTCACAATGTGCCAGAGATAAATGAGTATCCATATGCCACTGGTGAATTCATTGCTGCTCTGTTTACTTTTAAGTGGCATGACAAACAGAATTCTATCACATGACAATTATGTGATGAAAGGTTATAAACCAATTTTTGGACTGAAAAAACAGGGTGAGACAATTATGAAATGAAATACAGTCATTTAAAAAAATTGCCCACTTAATTTTGTGTCTCTACTCATCCCTTGTTTAAGAACTCTTCCTCTATCCATAGCTGTGAAAGACATTTCCCTGATGCTTTTTCACTTGTGATATGATCTTGACTACTGAGGTCCTGTATTCTTTTGCTCCTGATTATGATGTATGCATCAAATATACCATATAACACTCAAGTAGCAGTACAATGATACATAGTGGGCACTGTTTCCCAAAGCCATCTTGTTCCCCTACGAAGACAGCACAGTGAACCTAAACAGGGGTGGCCAAAATAAAGCTGGGGTTTCAGGTCTAAGAATCCTGAGGAGACAGCAAGGTGGCTTTTATATACTTCTGGAGATCCTACCCATCCTTCCAGTCCCTCAGTCTCACCACTTGGAGGCATCCTGGATTTCTCACTATCTCTCACAACCCCACTCCCACCCTCAATGTATCCAAGCTGTTGCTGAGACCTGTTAATTTCACCTTTGCACCACCTCTCGAATACACCCCCTTCTCCCACTCCTCTGACACCGCCACAACTCATCACCTCACACTTGGACTACTACAACAACCTGCTGGTGGGTCTGCTTGCCTCAAGCATTTCATTCCATCCTCCATTCAGCCACCAAAGGGATTTTACTACAGTTCAGGACCCACCATGTCATTCCCTTATTCAGTAAACTCCAGTGGCTTCCTATCACCTTCAGCACCAAATACAAAATGCTAACTGGCATTCAAAGCCCTTCATAATCTAAATCCTTCCTACCTTATACCTTACTCCTCAATACATACTCTTCCATCCAGGGACACTGGTAAAATGAATTATGTAATAATTTTAAATGAATTTAAATTTTATTCATTACAATAGCACCAAGACACATATATACACATATGTGTGTGCATCACTCAATCTAGAAAAGGCATAGCTGGTTATTTATTATACTGAGATAGACAATAACTCTACTCCCACAAGTTGGGAACCATTTGCTATAGCACTGAAATATCAATCCCTATTTGCGAGATGAAGCTCAGAATTATTTCTATGGACATGAAGCCAAACATCACACTATAGCTAAAGACTGGAACTCCAATCTTCAGACTCTGAGTCCACTGCTCTTTTTTCCTCTGCACCAAGTTGACTCCCCTATCTGTCTTCCATTCATTGTCCTCAGGCAAGACATAAGCACAAAGGAAGGACCCAGATACTGAGGCAGCTTTCTCAGCTTATGATGAAATCAATACTTCTCTCAACCTAATGAGAATCAATGGAGAGTAAGCCTCGCCTCCAGTCCTGTTTGTGATAATAATTTGTTCAGCTGGCTCTAATGAACGAGCGGATGGAGAATAGGCAAGGTTACTTAATGGTTGCATTTCCCAGATACTAGCCCTAGGCACCTTAATCTTACAATTCTATGTTGAAGGACCCATGGAAAACTTATTTACTACCTCAATTTTCTTTCCTCAAAACCCAAATCCAGATTTTGTTTAAATGAGGCAGAAGAAAGAAAACAGACCTCGTTTAAAGACACCTTAAACTTCCCACTTTAAAATAGGACAGTTTATATAAGCAGACATCTATGGCCCCTGAGCTGCTTTTCAGTTCAATAAAGTCTGACATCAAAAAAGTAAATGTTCCTTTCTCAGGTAAGGAAAGCCATGAACAGAGAAGGCCAGCTGGAATCTTTCCTGATCTAACAAAGTCACATGGATTGTGGAGGACAGCTCAGCTCTCCTCCTTCAGCTGTTCCTTCTTCCACCCCTAAACCCCCTAAGGACACATCCTATTTGTGATTCAGTTAGCACCATTATAACAGAAAACAATGAACAGAACATTATAAGCATGTTCTTCCTTCCAGTAAGCAGCAAGGTGACAGAAGATGGTTTTGGTTAAAAGACTCTTCAGCTCATTAAAAATAAAAGCTGCACCACCTCAAACAACAGGCCCAATGTCTGCAAACAGCAGTTTTCCATTTCTCTTCATTTCCTCCTTAAAATGTTCCCCTAATGCATATTCCATTGCTTAAAGTGGTTATGGGTTTCATACTCTAAGTCTTCTCGTACTATGGAAAATATGGGCTTCTCTTAGTTTTCTCAATCTATTGTTGTTCAGTTTCATGATGTCCTCTGACTCTTTATCCAAGAACCCTTACCTGATAATGCAGGACCCCTAGCTTCAACATGATCAAATTCAATTCCTATTACTGCCTACAAATTTCTAGATGATTGCACATCACATGTTTGCACATGCATATTTGTACATCAAACAAAACAAAGTCATACATACTGTGACCTGGGAAGAGTCTAGGAACTGGAGGCCAAAGTAGTCAGTTTCCACAAGGTCCAAATGATATACAATCTGATCAAACAAGTCCTGACCTTTGGCATGTTTCTGGAATACAAAAAGAAAAAAGAACTCATTAGTAGGGTTAGTCAGGAACACTTAATGAAATAAATGCTTTTATTAACAAAAACCACACCTCTAGCCACACACGCTTAACAACCCACAGCCTATAATTTCCTTTTAAATACATTTTTCTTCTGAAAAATTCCATTTTTTCCTATCCCTGCCCATTGACTTCTTAAAACTGAAGCAAAAATTACTATATAAAATAGCACATAAATATAAACAAAAGGTTTTCATTACAAATTATAAATATATACCTTCCCAACTAACCCATAACATGTCATTATTATCCAAAAATTAATCTTTTACATCTGAAGTGATTTGATCTTCAAAATTCTTATATGTTTCTCCTAATAGTTTCATCCTTTAAACTTATTTCCCTAATTGTCCCCTGATTTTTGTTTGACTTATTAAAAAGTTATCATCCAATTCTATAGGTTAGTCAGTCAATAAATATCTATTAATTGCCTATTATGAGGCAGGCATTGCACTAAGTACTAGAAATTCAAAAGACAGTTCCTGCTCTCAGGGTGAAACAAAGTGAAAACAACTATGTACACATCAGAGACACATAGGATAAATTATAGATAATTAAAGAGCACACAGTCTAAAGGAAGAGACAACATGAAAACATGTATATAAACATGATACATATACAGGATAAATTATAGACAATCAAAAGAGTACAGGCATTAGAATTAAGGGGGACTGGGAAAGACTTCTCACAGAATATGAGATTTTAGCTGGGACTTGAAAGTAGTATCACAAGTAAAATTTAACAGAAAGGTAAAAGGAGGCACATTTCTTTGAGCAAGGTAATATTTTATCATCAGGGCTGGTAACCTGAGAATAAGATGGGTCAACACCTGCCTCAGTTTCCAGCCAAAAACCCCAAGCAAAAGGATAGTTCCTCTTTTATAGGTTTGGGGAGCACAGAACATGGTAGGTGACGTCATAGGGCTGAGGACAACCTAACTGGTTACACAGCTGAGGCACAGGGAATAATATGATTGGGTGGAAGCTGGAAATGAGGAGCTAGCAACAGCACTCCCCTCCCCTTCCCTCCTGTGTCTAAGGGTTCATTGTTTGAGTCTACCTGTAAGACTTCCCTGCATAGCAAACCACACACCCTTGAAGGATAACTTAGTGTTGTGAAGACATTAGTCCCAACTCCCTTATGGCAAGCCACATTCCCCAAGGTTAGCAGAATTCCTTGAAGCAAGAATAGAACGGTGATTAGCAAAAGAACTGGATTTCTAAATTTAACCCATTAGAGGCCAGCTGAATTGTGAACTCAGGTCAGAGACAGAGAACCACGACTTAGGCGGTTACAGGAGAAATCAATTAATTGTAAATAGGATCAATAAGAAAATTCTATAGGATCACCTTCTCAGAAGTCAGGCAAGGCACAAAGCAGAGATGAGGAGGCAGAGTAGCAGGACAGGTGTGGGACATAAGCACCATTTAACATCATATCCTAGATCCATCATACTGATGGTTATTCTCAAAATTAAATGAGTTCTTTGGGAGGCAGCTAGTTCCCCTTCACTGGACATCTTTAAACAAAGATGTATGATCAAGTGTCCACAAGTACCATAGTGAGGATTCTTGTCTGGATTTGGGCTGGACGACTACTGATATACCTTCCAACTCTGGGATTCTATGATAGGAACTGAGAGGCCACCTCATTCATTCACCGGTGGGCAAAACTAGGAACACTTTTTATAAAATATTTATGGTAAAAATTCTGCCAATCCTGAATTCAGCCTTCTACCCTCAAGTCTTCTAGCACAGCGCTGTATCACAAAACAACCCTTATACCCTCAACTTCTAGATGGCATGGTGGACAGAGAGGATATAACGCTAGGCCTGAAGTTAAGAAGAGCCAAGTTCAAATCTGGCTTCAGATATTTATTAGCTATGTGATGCTGGGCAAGTCATTCAACCTCTATTCACCTCAGTTTGCTCAACAGTAAAGCCAGGATAATAGTAGCACCTACGTCCCAGTGTTGTTGTGAGGATCAAATAAGATAATATTTGTAAAGCACTTATCACAGTACCTGGCACTAGTAGGCATTACATAAATGCTTATTACCTTGCTCCCCGCTTTGGTGGTGAAGACATAACACACAGTAACAAAGATCTAAAGGCAACACTAGATGTTCAATGATTGACAGGTTCACCAAATGGAAGGAAATAACAACTCTGGTTGTTATTCACTCATTTCAGTTGTGTCTGACTCTTCGTGACCCCATTTGGGGTTTTCTTGACAAAGATACTGGAGTGGTTTTGTCATTTCCTTCTCCAGCTCATTTTACAAAGGAAGAAACTGAGGCAAACAGGGGTAAGTGACTTGCCCAGGGTCCCCCACCTAGTAAGTATCTGAGGCCAGATTTGAACTCAGGAAGAGAAATCTTCTTGACTCCAGATCTGATACTCTATCCACTGCGCCACCTAGCCACCCCAATTGGTTAGTGGTGTCCATGTAAAATCAGGCTTTTGCATGAAAGTCAAGATGCATGGGTGAAATGACAGGAAATGGAAGAGGCAACTGACCAACTGTGCTCTGTTTAAAAACAGGGATTTTGAAGGAAGAAGGCAAGGAAGTATACACTGTCCATTTGAAAAAGACTTCCATCTACAAGTTAAAGCAAAGCTCCAGTGCTTATCTTTTGTTACTCACATTTCTAAGTCCTCCAAGCTGAGCCCTGATTAGGGACTCGCACCACAAACAGTGGTTGGTGGAAGGAGAGAATGCACACTACTCTCTGGAATGATACGGAGACCCCAGAGGACAAGGAGCCTTCTGTTCCAGAAAGAAAGTCATCAGGTCGATAACTTCTTACACAGAAACAGAAGATAGAAGGTCACATGCAAAGATACACCACAAATAGGACGGTTTGGCTGTTCAGAGTATGTGTGAGGGAGCCAAGGACCATCACCCTGGAAAGGCAGGCAGAAGCCAAAGTGTAAAGGGCTTTTTACATGGCAGCCTGGGGAGTTTGTATTTTGTCTCAAAGGTAACAGGGAAGCACTGAAGCTTCTAGAGCAGAGAAGTGTCAAGACTCGTGCTTTAGGAATATCTAATTAGAGGCTGATTAGGGAGGAGAGAGGCTGCAAGCAAGAAAACCAATCTAGAAGGTTGAGGCAAGATCTGAGCAGCCCCTGGACTAGGGTGGCTACAGTGTCAGTAGGGAGAAGGTAATGGAGAAAAGATATGTCAAGGAGGGGCAACTGGTTGGATGTGGGGGGTTGGGGTGGGGAACGAGAGAGAAAAATCCAGAATGACTTCAGGGTTGTGAATCTGAGTGACTGGAAGAATGGCAGTGTGCTTAGAAACTGGGAAGTTCAGAAGAGGGAGGTGGCTAGGAGCTGGACTCAGGAAGACCCTAGTTCAAATCCAGCCATACACACCAAGCAACTACATGATCCTGGGTAAGTCACTTTAACTCGTTTGCCTCAGTTTCCTCATCTGTAAAACAGTGATAATAAGAACACCTATTTCCAAGGGTTGTTATGGAGAACAAATGAAATAATATCTGTAAAGTGCTTTGCTAACGTTAAAAGAATATATATAAACACTAACTATTATTGTTGGTTTGTCTTGTTCTACCCCACAGGGTTGGATTAGAAGTATTAGGAAGCTGCTGAGAGGTGCTAAGAATCCTAATGATTAGTTCCAGCAAAGTGAAATGGGCTATCCTTGCAGTTAGTAGGTTCCTCCCTAGTAGAGGTCTCTAAGCAAAAGACTGGGTGAACACCTATTATCAAGTGCATTCCCGTGTAGGTATGGTTTGGGCTTGTCATTTTGTGAGGTCCCTTCTATGAGCTTCTAAGATTTCTATAAACAGGTATTTAAGACAATATCCTGGCATTTAAAGGGTTAGCCATCAGCTCTTTGGAAAGCCTGGCTATCCAGGATACCTCTTCAGGCACTGGAGTGACCTCCTAATCACCAAATCCAGTGACTTCTTTTTTCAGTCCTCATTCTCCTTGATATCCTTAACTTTTGATATTGTTGACCACCCTACCCCAAGCCCACCTCCACTTCCTATACTTTCTTGAGGCTCCCTTCCACACCACACTCCTGTTTTCCCTCTTACCACTCTAACCACACTTCTCTTTCTGGCTTTTTATCCTCTTTCCAAGCCATAATGTGGAATACGTATTCCCCCAAAGCTCCACCCTTGGTCTCCTCCTTGCTCTAACCTCTCCCCACCCTGGCACTCTCATTCACAAATCTATGACTTCAAACCCCATACTTTCAACTGCCCACAGGAAACCTCCACTTAAATGTGCTAACAATACTTACTCTATCCAAAACTAATCTCATTATCCTTCCTCCTAAACCTTCTCTTCCTTCCGATTTCACTGTTTTTGTCTTGGGACACCAGTGTTGGTTCACCCAGTTTCCCAAGTTTGTAATTTTGAGAGTTATTTTCCTTTCCCCTCAACTCTCTTATCGAATCAGTTGCCAAATCTGGTTGTCTGATTCCCAAATCAGAGATCGTTGCATTACACCACACTGCTTCTTACAGATCAATCAATCAACAAACATTTATTAAAGTACCTACTATATGCCAGGTACTACCTAGGTACTGAAGACACACTGCTTCTTACAGATCAATCAACAAACATTTATCAAGCACCTACTAGTATCAGATAACTATGCTCTAGGTAGCACTACAGATAACAAGTACAAAAAAAAATGAAACAATCAGGGCTTCCGCTTCCAGGAGCCAAGATGCAGAGCGAAAAGGTAGTCGCTCTCACTCTCCCCTATCAACCTCTGAAAACCCAGAAAATATCACCCTAGAAAAAAAAACCCTGGAACACCTGAACTAGAAGAAAGACAAGGAGCAGCAGTGCAGTAGCCCAGCAAACGGGTCTCCCAGTGCCTCAGCAAAAATAAGGCAGGCAGAACTACAAGGGGCCCCAGGCTGACAAGTACCCTGAGGCATTCATCTGAAAGGAGGTGAAGGAAA